TCTCGGTTCGGTTCGCGTGTGTTTCGTTTGGTTCATGCGCTGCTCCTTTTTCTCATAGAGGAAGCGATTACACTCCAGAGCAGGAGGTGGCGGTACTGCGACCAAAGCCAACCACCAGTAGTAAACAAGAAGAAGAAGAAGTGAAGCAGCTTAGCCGGGTGTAGCAGGAAAAAAAATCAGTTGTTGTGGAGAATTGTGTCGGACTGGCGAGTGGGAAAGAACTGGAGTTGGTCACGGTTTTCGGTTTGGTTCGGTATATGTTGATTGTTAGCATGACATGTTGGTCGTGTTGCTGTTAGCATAAACAAAACGTGTTGCACAATGCTTGCACACTGTTTTAACCCACAACTTTCTTTCCGCCGTCATCGTAGGTCACTCTAAATGCAAAGTGGTCCCATATAGCAGACCTATAAAGTGCTGCTGACGCGTCTTCCAACTCGCCATACCCACACAATTCTCCACGACAACTGATTTTTTTTCTGCTACACCCGGCTACGCTGCTTCGCCTCTTCTTGTTTACTACTGGTGGTTGGCTTTGGTCGCAGTACCGCCACCTTCTGCTCTGGAGTGTACACGCTTCGCCTATGACAAAAAGGAGCAGCACATGAACCGAACGCAACACAAGCGAACTGAACCGAGACAGTCGAACCGAACGGTTCGGACGGGTTTCATAAACCGTTCCATCCCTACTATATGCTGTAGGATATATGCTGGATCATTCCTCAGATCAGAGTCACGGATTGGATCATTTTTCAGATCAGCAAATAAACTTAAAGGCATAATCAGTGTTTCAGAGGGTCATTAAAAATCATTAAAAGTCATTAATTTTTTTTAATTAAGGCCTTAATTGGCATTAAGATTCATTATATGTGATAATTGTGGCATTTGAAATGCTTTATAAAGAAAAACAACAAAAAACATCTATTGCGATATATTTGCGCGGAACTGCTTCCGGTTGATCGTAAATCTGTATGTTCCGAAAAGAAGCTCGAGGGGGAGAAAAAGCTAGAGAATGGGGAAAAATGCAAATTTCAACAAAAGTGGATAGAAAATGTAGCCTGATAAACCAGACTAAATGTGAGATTAAATGTGTAATTTAGTCTGGCCCTGATGAATGAGACATCGGAAGATTGTTGAACAACCCGTTGTTTTTCAAACCATGTCTGTGCCTATTGGCCAACGCTCTGACCAATGAGAGCAACTGACTGTGACGTAGTAAGCACGACAGAACGCTGGTGGGGGAGTGTAAACAAACAGCCTGTCGGTAAAACGGCGAATACGTCCTTCTTAATAATGAATGAGTGTAGAGCCTCTTCCTCACGTTTTAACAAAAACCCCAAGATGTTGAATGCACCCGACTGAAAAATGTTGATGGTGGATTTTATAATCAAAGCAGGTTATTTAAAAGAAACATCACGTTAGTAGAAAACATGGATGTTTAACAGAAACTGATGTTTCTCTAGTTCATTACAAGGGTTATTTCAAACACAACTGAGATTTTCTAAGTGTCAAATACAAGCTTATAATGGATAGATGAATGGATAAAAAATGGATGCAGTATAAACAGTTAGGTAGTAACGACTCAACCTAATGGAAAGTTTCATCTGAAAATATAATGGCTGCATTTCTATCCTAGGTTTAAAAAAAAAAACAAGAAATAATGACAAAATAAATCTGTCAGCCAAATAGAAGTTGGTCTCAGTTGATCCGATTAAGAAAAGCCAGTGACAGCAGTGAAGGAGTAGATGTTTGTGAGGTGGTACTACGTTGGTGTTAAGTGGACTTATGTAACAGCTCACAGTAGGTTTGGCTCTGTACTCATCTTTGAACCTGTTTTTTCAGGGATTATGTTCGCAGTGAGCTGGATTCAGGCTATGAAGGACCCGTCTACCTTGAACCACTCTCCATGAACAGATTCACCACGGCACTTATAGGTAGAATTTATGTATTAAAAACTGATTGTCCTTTTTTTTCATGTCTCTTTTAAAATGTGTGTGTTTTTTTTGTAGAGTCAAACATTAAAACAGAGGTTTTTTTCAAGTTTTAACTTTTAAAATGCTAAATATATTCTGTAAAATGAACCTGAAATAGAAAAAAGGATCAAATTGGTGCAGTATCTATGTATTCTCTGGTACTTTTTGACAGAAAAACATGGTTTTTGATTGGCTCGGTCTTTATAAAAGATTTGACTTAAAATAAGGGTCATCTAATTAGAGTTGACACATATTTTTAACCTTTTATCACCTAAAAAAAGTTAAGAAAAAATGTAAAATTGTTTCATTTGCTGTTAAACAGTAACCCATATAAGCTTACTAAAAAGGCCAGTTGATAAAAACTCCTTTACCCTTTAATAAACTGTTGTTAAAGCTTCAATCTAAGTTATACTCTTTAGCGGCTTGAACTGGTCAGTGTTAAAAAAAGACCAGCCACATATGGGTGTGTTTGAAACTAAAATGATGCAGCGTTTCTGCGTTGTAACTCCTCGGTTCAAGTGAAAAGAAATGGGGTCTCCTTGGTTATAAATAGACCTTACAAAATGCTGATGTCATAGAGGATGCCTGAGAGAGCACAACTACAGCTAGAAAAGTAGAAAAGAGTGTTTTTTGCTGATGATCCATCCTTATGTTCTATATATTGTCTGGTTAATTTAATGTTCTTGTCTCCATATGCATTTTTCTATGTTTTGAATTGTATCCTTTGCCTTTCAGGTCAGCTTGTGGTGTGCACTCTGTGTTCCTGTGTGATGCAGACCAAGAGGATTTGGCTATTCTCTGCACACCTCCTCCCGCTGGTGGCCAGGCTGTGCCTGGTCCCCCTAGAGACCATCGTCTTCATCAATAGGTTTTCAATGATCTTCACAGGCCTGGAGGTTATTTACTTCCTGGCCTCTAACTTACTGGTCCCGTATAACCTGGCTAAGACGGCCTACAGGGAGCTCGCTCAGGTAATGGATTATTAAAGCAGCCGTATGCTGGAAGTTTCCCTTGTTTTCCTCATGCATCCTCTTTTTATCTTATATGAATATTGTTCCTAATTACCTTCTTCTCTTTGTTTTCTGTACTTCTGTTTCCCAGGTGGTAGAGGTGTATGGGTTGCTAGCTTTAGGGATGTCCTTGTGGAACCAGCTGGTTCTCCCAGTTCTCTTCATGTGCTTCTGGCTTGTGCTGTTCGCTCTTCAGATCTACACCTACTTCAGCACCAGAGACCAGCCTACCTCGAGGGAGAGGCTCCTTTTCCTCTTTCTTACAAGGCAAGACGACAGCCCCTTTCTACCAAACTGGTTAATGTAGAACTCCTTTAACTCTTACGGACAAACTTGCTGACAAAAATATTGAATCACATTTAGGGAATGAGTTGATTCATCTGCTTCTTGCCCTGTCCGTTTTCCATACCAGTTAATTTGTAGATTAACAAAATTAACTGTTGTGTTCATTTTTAAGAACACAACAGTGTTCATCAAGCCCATTTCGGGCTTCTCTCTTCATGATAAAATGAACGAATAACACATCTATTAGTTTTTAACAGAACAGTTAAAGGAAAATAAGACCACAAGAGCAAAATCTCACACCTGGATAAATAAAGGGAAAGGTGAAAATAAAACATTTACAATTAATTTACATCTTAGATGCCANAGACAAAAAGTTAATGGTGCATCTCCCAAATGTCCCGGCCGCAACAACGCTTTATTGGTTCCGCTATCGGGACGGAACCAATGATGGCAAGCCGTTATTTATTTATTTTTTTTAATTGTCAATTTTAACGTTTTATTTAGATTACAAAAATAAATCATAATACACATAATATGTATGAAGTTTTAAAAATTAAGACCTACGAAAGACGGATTTAAGACATTTTAATACCAATTAAGGCCTTAGTTTTATTTTGAAGAATTCAATGCCTTTTAAGACTTTTTAAGGACCTGCGGGAACCCTGTAACCCTGATAGTATTTTCTTTATAACATCACCATGTGTTTAAAGCCCTCGTTTTGAACAACTAAATATGGCCTCGTGTTTGCACCTATACACCAATACCATTTGTGATGGTTTTAGCCCCGTCAGTGACGAGCTGTTTTTTAGCGGGCTTCGGAACACCGGGGTGATGTCGCCCGAATGCGTTACCATGTTTGATGTGTTTCCACTGTCATATGCCTTTCTTGTGCCACAGTGCCTACACACCATCAAGGTTTTATCCACTAACCTCTCCATCATTAAATTTGACGGGGAAGCCAAAATGTTCCTATACCGGGGATTTAAATGACACGGGGGATTCAAGCTCCTCTGTTCCTCCGCTCGCCATGACCACATTGTATGTGAACGGAACGTGTGCAAACTTATTTTTCTTTTTTTCTCTGTAAATAAATCCTCGGATCATTTTGGGGCCGAACCGAAAATATTGATCTCACGGATCACGGATCAGTGATGATCCATTTCACCACTAGTAAACAACCAACTCAGAGACAAATCTCTGACAAATTAGTTTTATTTTAGAGGATGTTGAATGCACCCGACTGAAAATGTTGATGGTGGATTTCATAATCAAAGCAGGTTATTTAAAAGAAACCTCATGTTAGTAGAAAACATGGATGTTTAACAGAAACTGATGTTTCTCTAGTTCATTACAAGGGTTATTTCAAACACAACTGAGATTTTCTAAGTGTCAAATACAAGCTTATAATGGATAGATGAATGGATAAAAAATGGATGCAGTATAAACAGTTAGGTAGTAACGACTCAACCTAATGGAAAGTTTCATCTGAAAATATAATGGCTGCATTTCTATCCTAGGTTTAAAAAAAAAAACAAGAAATAATGACAAAATAAATCTGTCAGCCAAATAGAAGTTGGTCTCAGTTGATCCGATTAAGAAAAGCCAGTGACAGCAGTGAAGGAGTAGATGTTTGTGAGGTGGTACTACGTTGGTGTTAAGTGGACTTATGTAACAGCTCACAGTAGGTTTGGCTCTGTACTCATCTTTGAACCTGTTTTTTCAGGGATTATGTTCGCAGTGAGCTGGATTCAGGCTATGAAGGACCCGTCTACCTTGAACCACTCTCCATGAACAGATTCACCACGGCACTTATAGGTAGAATTTATGTATTAAAAACTGATTGTCCTTTTTTTTCATGTCTCTTTTAAAATGTGTGTGTTTTTTTTGTAGAGTCAAACATTAAAACAGAGGTTTTTTTCAAGTTTTAACTTTTAAAATGCTAAATATATTCTGTAAAATGAACCTGAAATAGAAAAAAGGATCAAATTGGTGCAGTATCTATGTATTCTCTGGTACTTTTTGACAGAAAAACATGGTTTTTGATTGGCTCGGTCTTTATAAAAGATTTGACTTAAAATAAGGGTCATCTAATTAGAGTTGACACATATTTTTAACCTTTTATCACCTAAAAAAAGTTAAGAAAAAATGTAAAATTGTTTCATTTGCTGTTAAACAGTAACCCATATAAGCTTACTAAAAAGGCCAGTTGATAAAAACTCCTTTACCCTTTAATAAACTGTTGTTAAAGCTTCAATCTAAGTTATACTCTTTAGCGGCTTGAACTGGTCAGTGTTAAAAAAAGACCAGCCACATATGGGTGTGTTTGAAACTAAAATGATGCAGCGTTTCTGCGTTGTAACTCCTCGGTTCAAGTGAAAAGAAATGGGGTCTCCTTGGTTATAAATAGACCTTACAAAATGCTGATGTCATAGAGGATGCCTGAGAGAGCACAACTACAGCTAGAAAAGTAGAAAAGAGTGTTTTTTGCTGATGATCCATCCTTATGTTCTATATATTGTCTGGTTAATTTAATGTTCTTGTCTCCATATGCATTTTTCTATGTTTTGAATTGTATCCTTTGCCTTTCAGGTCAGCTTGTGGTGTGCACTCTGTGTTCCTGTGTGATGCAGACCAAGAGGATTTGGCTATTCTCTGCACACCTCCTCCCGCTGGTGGCCAGGCTGTGCCTGGTCCCCCTAGAGACCATCGTCTTCATCAATAGGTTTTCAATGATCTTCACAGGCCTGGAGGTTATTTACTTCCTGGCCTCTAACTTACTGGTCCCGTATAACCTGGCTAAGACGGCCTACAGGGAGCTCGCTCAGGTAATGGATTATTAAAGCAGCCGTATGCTGGAAGTTTCCCTTGTTTTCCTCATGCATCCTCTTTTTATCTTATATGAATATTGTTCCTAATTACCTTCTTCTCTTTGTTTTCTGTACTTCTGTTTCCCAGGTGGTAGAGGTGTATGGGTTGCTAGCTTTAGGGATGTCCTTGTGGAACCAGCTGGTTCTCCCAGTTCTCTTCATGTGCTTCTGGCTTGTGCTGTTCGCTCTTCAGATCTACACCTACTTCAGCACCAGAGACCAGCCTACCTCGAGGGAGAGGCTCCTTTTCCTCTTTCTTACAAGGCAAGACGACAGCCCCTTTCTACCAAACTGGTTAATGTAGAACTCCTTTAACTCTTACGGACAAACTTGCTGACAAAAATATTGAATCACATTTAGGGAATGAGTTGATTCATCTGCTTCTTGCCCTGTCCGTTTTCCATACCAGTTAATTTGTAGATTAACAAAATTAACTGTTGTGTTCATTTTTAAGAACACAACAGTGTTCATCAAGCCCATTTCGGGCTTCTCTCTTCATGATAAAATGAACGAATAACACATCTATTAGTTTTTAACAGAACAGTTAAAGGAAAATAAGACCACAAGAGCAAAATCTCACACCTGGATAAATAAAGGGAAAGGTGAAAATAAAACATTTACAATTAATTTACATCTTAGATGCCATTTAAAAAAAACAAAAAACCCAAAGTATATGAAATTAAATATTACTACTGAAGCTGTGGATCATCCTATTCCAATTACCAACCAATTTCTAGCTCTTTTTAAAGTCTTAGGAAAGTCATATTTAAATTTTAAATTGTTTTGGCTTAAACATGTTTATAAATGTACTCTTTATCAGACCATATTGTCCCAAAAGTTTGAAAATTTCTTTCTTAAAATCTGTGTTTTTTTCCCCCTTATCTTATGCAGGCTAGTTAGTTATACTTCAACTTGTACACCTAAATTCGGCCAATCATATATCAACGGTCATCTGTCAATCAAATTATTTCGGTCATAGCATCTTGTTTTATATGTCGCAGCTAATATACACAAAGGTTGAAATAAGAAATAAGAATAATTTACTTTACCATTGAGTTCCGTCCCAGTGTTCACGGGGATGGACGTCTGTGTCTTCGGCAGGCGTAGAGCTAACAGAACTGACAGCGTTGTGAGGCAAGGGCTCAAACATGTACGGCTGTAAGCCTTCTAGGGATGGAACGGTTTATGAAAACCGTCAGAACCGTTCGGTTCGACTGTCTCGATTCGATTCGCGCCAGCAGACCACTTTGCATTTAGAGTGACCTACGATGACGGTGGAAAGAAAGTTGTGGATAAAAACAGCGTGCAAGCATTGTGCAACACGTTTTGTTTATGCTAACAGCAACACGACCAACATGTCAGGCTAAAAATATACCGAACCAGACCGAAAACCGTGACCACGAAACCGTGAACCGAACCAAACCGTGGATTTTGTGAACAGTTCCACCCCTATTAGGTATAAGAGCCTTTTACCAGTGGAGCTCTCTGTGAACATAGCTAGCCTGGAGCGGGCTGCTTATCCTCCCGCAGCAGTGTGTCGCAGATATATTTAAATTTATGCGCAATTTTGAAGCGTGGTGTGCGCTATGTAATTCCANGAAACCGTGAACCGAACCGTGGATTTTGTAAACCGTTCCACCCCCTAAAGCCTTCTACACCAAACCAAGCTTCTGCCTCCCTGGCGTCCTCTTCCACAACAACTTCATCCCCGCTTTCCTCCTCTAAATAACAAGTGTATGACGGAGGAGACTCATCCACGACCTCCGACAAAAAACTCTCCTCCTCTTGCATGTTTCCGCTGTCCATAGCGTTCCTTGACAGCGTCAGTGCTAAGTGCTACTTGGTCCCAGTGTAATTTTCCCACTTGCTAACTCGTTAGCAAGATGCTTCCGACAAACCGACCACAACCAAATTTGCTTGCGAATCTTCCGCCACAACAATCCCGCCCCCTTGATAATCGACCAATCACATTTACTTTATTAAGTTGTGTAAAGTTGGGCACCACTCGGGAGAATTGGAAAATGCAACATTTGAAACAGCCGCTTCCCTTAGACTTTAAGCATATGCATACAATATTTCCTACATGCGTTTGGATTCGGTGCTGCAACATTTCCAGCTCATTTTAACTCTGCTCCTCTTTTTCTCTCCATCCGTGTCTTCAGTATTGCAGAATGTTGTAGTACACCTTACTCTCTGCTGGGTCTGGTTTTCACCGTGTCATTCATCGCACTCGGAGTCCTCACGCTCTGCAAGTTCTACCTGCAGGGCTACAGAGCCTTCGTCAATGACAATGCCATGCACAGGTCAGTACGTTTGCTCGCTCAATTCAGGCTGTAGTTTGGAATCCTATTTGAATTATATCCGTGTCCTATCTAAACAGAGGAATGACTGAGGGCATCACACTGCTTATCCTGGCTGTGCAAACCGGTTTGATAGAGCTGCAGGTCATTCATCGAGCCTTCCTCCTCTCCATCATCCTCTTCATTGTTGTTGCTTCTATTCTGCAATCCATGCTGGAGATCGCTGACCCCATCGTTCTGGCTCTGGGAGCTTCCAGAGACAAGTAAGAAAAACCCAAAATGCACTTTTGGATTTATTCCAAAATATTTCTGATCTATCCAGTTCACTGATTTTAACCTTTTCTCTGTCTGCGGTTTATGTTGTAGGAGTTTGTGGAAGCACTTCCGTGCAGTTTCTCTGTGCCTCTTCCTGCTCATCTTTCCCGCATACATGTCTTATATGATCTGTCAGTTTTTCCACATGGACTTCTGGCTTCTCATCATAATCTCCTCATCCATCCTCACCTCACTTCAGGTAAATCCCAAAGTATGCTGATGTTACCCTCTTCTAGTTGAGGACCAAAGTGCCCAAAGTAATGTTTTTAATGAGTTAAACTTAATAATTTCACTGAATTGTCTGAATAAAATAGTAAATCTATTAGAGTTTATGGATAAATTATAAAGTTGCTTGATTTTATATAATTTATGTAGCTTTTAAAGGCATGAAAGAGAATTGTGGTCAAAGATATGTCCAACGGCCGTTTGTGTATTTTTGAATGGTGCTTAATGGCGGGCGGCTAGCCAAACAGCGTATGAGTTACGTGAGTTGCGCTTAAGTAAAAACATCATGGCGACACGTACGCAAACTGTTTGACTGACAAACAAGTAGGCAATCCACTTTCGACAGTAGGCAAAGTGGATTGGCTAATGTTTTGTAGACAACACCACGGCCAGAGTTTATGAATATATATATATTTTTGTGGGGGTAACCATTGCAAGAAGGCCAGCTATCAATTAAGCCATTTTAGATGAATCTGGACACTTAATTTCTAAGAAAAATCCTATTTAATACCGTTTAGTTCATATAATAAAGGTGTCTAAAAAAAGCTTTTAAAAAGTCCATAATTTAACCAACTGAAACCTTTTATTTATGTTTTTTATCTGATTTCTCCCACAGGTTCTGGGAACTCTGCTCATCTACGTTCTCTTCATGGTGGAGGAGTTTCGTAAAGCTCCAGTGGAGAACATGGATGAGGTCATTTACTGTGTTAATGGGACCTACAGATTACTGGAGTTTCTGGTAAATAGCTGGACTCACAATTAACTAGAAAAGCACCTGGAGAGTGCAGACCTCCACCAGGAAGCAAATATTGCGCCATTTTGTTATTTAAAACTAATGATCTGGATCATTACCTAATTTAAATGAATTCTTGCTTGACGTGGAGCGAAACTCTGGTTAAAAAAATTAAAAAAAATTCTATAAAATCAGTTCATAAGTTTTTAATTGAGCCTGCTACTGTTGCTCTGATGCTGAGGTTGTCAATACTCACTGCTGCCACCCTCTGGTTTAGTGAGGAACTGCTTGTTCTGCCAAATATCCCTACCTCACAACTTTAAAGAATCTTTGGTCTTAGATTTTTATTTCAAGTGGCATTAACAGGTCTTAAAAAGTCTTGAATTTAATTTGCTTTATGCTGTAGGAACCCTGAAATAATAATGATCTTCTAATTCCATCACTTTCTGTTGGATTTAGGACTTTCGCCACTAACATAGAAGCTGTGTCACATTTTTGGTCCACAGTAAAAAAAAGACTTAAAAACACCACTGTTCAAAATCAGTGGGAGGATTTTTCGGACTAATAATAATTTCCCTCTCCACAGGTGGCAGTGTGTGTGGTGTGCTATGGCATATCAGAGACTGTATTTGGAGAATGGAGTGTGATGGGCAGCACCATCATTCTGGTCCACTCCTATTATAACGTTTGGCTCAGGGCCCAGCTGGGCTGGCAGAGCTTCCTGCTTCGGAGAGATGCTGTAAACAAGATCAAAAGCCTCCCGACTGCAACCGACGCACAGCTGCAGCAGTATAACGACATCTGTGCCATCTGCTTCCAGGTAAGCAGAGTCTTTATAGAGTTTAGAAACAGACTGTTTTTTGTTTTTATTCCTCCCTGACGACACTTGATGTTACTTATCAATTATTGCTCAATTATTTTTAACAACTGATTCTTTGTTATTATCAGCTTCTAACATAGTAATCTGTTTTTATTTTCCTTTGTGGATTTATTTACAGACATCTTATTTGTTTTGCTTTTTATAATTCAAAAAAGGAGGTGTTTACTTATGATAATTTGTTCATGTAGCCTTACAGCGCTCACTAGCAGGGCATTTAGAGTTGAATGTAAAGCCAGCCTCATGTTGATTTCCCCTGCAGGACATGATCAGCGCAGTGATCACTCCATGCAGTCATTTCTTCCATGCTGGCTGCCTGAAGAAATGGCTGTACGTCCAGGAGACGTGTCCTCTTTGTCACTCCCAACTCAAAAGTCAATCACCAGCCAATGGAGCTCCCAACCAAGACCCCCCCGCAGCCGATCCCAGCCCTGCTGGACAGGAAGGAGCCGCTGCCGTCGGTGAGGAGGCGGGTTCTCCTTCTGCTGATGGAAAGGAGGAGGGAGGGGATGGAGCCGCCTCGTTGGCTGAAGAACCCCCCTCCTCCAGCACGCACTCTGCTCCCCTGCAGGTCGTCAGCCCCCCCTCATCTTCCTCGTCTGTGACTGATTTCACGGAGAACCAATTGCAAAAGGATCATCCATCTGCATCCTCCTTCTCTACCTCTGACTCGCCCAACATTTCCACCAGTCTTCGATTTCGCCCCCACACCGTTACCCCCTGCACCCTCCCCCGCTCCTCCTCCCCTTCCTCCCCACAGGGACAGACCCCTGCAGAGGTGACCCCTGTGGATCTGCAGAAGATCCACTGATCCAACATTGCACACACGAAAGCTCCTCCATGCTCATCCAGAGCTCCATCACCACACAAACGACATATGTGCATGAACTTAGAAACAGCGCCCTCCCCCTTCTTTATTCTTCCTATTAGCGTTTGCTGGCAAGTCCTGCTTCTTTATAGCCAGGGTTCCTATGCAGTTTTTAAAAGAATTGGATTTGACTTCATGTTTTTTCTGATTAGAATGTAATTGGAAAGAAAGTTTTGCAAAATATTTATATTTCCTGCTAATGAATATCTAAAGAATCCAAAGAAGGTCAGTATTATTTGACACCCCCATTGGATTTAATTTAGATGCCATCAGCTGTTTCTTCCTTTACCACGTGAACATGTTGCTATCTAGGAAATAAGTACATGTTCAAAAATAGATGTTTAATGATATGTGGAGTTTATGGAGCGTAAACTGATTAAGAAAACCCCGGAAATCAAAGCTCATTCTAGTTCAGTTTGCTGCCTTATAGTATTTTGGTTTTATTTGCACTTTCTTGCAATTAAAATATTTAAAGCTTACCAACTGTTTTAAGAAAAGGAACTAATTCAAAGCAACTTAGAACTGAAATAGTTTAGTAGTTCAATGGATGGGCGATGGTGGTCTGAATTTAATACAATTTTGGTATTACTCTAAAAAGAAATCCATTTGTTAAAAGAAAACGTGTTTCCGCAGAGTCAGGAACCTAAAAACATAGATTCTACTGGACGTCAGTCGTATTAATGGGTTACCTTAGTACAAAATCTAAATGAGTTTTCCTTTTATACTGTTGCACATCATGTAATAATTCTAGTAAATCATATTTTTAAATATATAAATTCTCAAATTAATAGTAGAAAAACTGTAGTGAGTTTGCAGGATTTATAAATATCCTCAATAATAATGAAAATAATTGCAGAAGTTGTTAAAGAAATTTGTAAAAGCGAGTACTTACTGAATCGAAAACTGCAAAGGAACTTTTCATATGGGTTTCCTAAAGGAAAAATTCATCATTTATTGCTTGAATGATTTGTCGTACATTTTTCAGTGTGTCACCTGAATCCCTCCCCTTTAACTCATGCTGGGACTCATCTTTATCACATTTATTTTCCCCAGAAAATACTCTCTCTCACATTGTGTCTACCAAATGTGAAATATTACATGACTGAAGTTTTTCTTTCATTAAGCTGTTTGACTTCCTGAAGGGTTTTTTTTTTTTTTTTTTTGCTCCTCCCTGTTGTGCAGCCCCCGCCCCCTTCATTGCTGTACGTGTTGGATTTATCTGATGTCCTGTTAGTGCCATGACATGTGGAAATGATCGGAGGGCAAGACAGCGAAGAATGACAATGGATAACTTATGGTTACATTTGAAACTGTAACAGTCTTAACATTTCAGAAACTTGTTTTTTTTTTTTCATTCACTTTGATTTTTATTTTATTTTTTTACTGTATGGTGACAGTGGTCATGTATTGGCAAAAACAAAGAATTGCAGATAATGAATGTCGTTTTTTGTGGCCATCACATGAACTGAAGCCTGGTGCTAAGCAGAGGACATGATGTGATCTAGCTGTTTTGTTTCTATGTGAACTGATCAGTGGCTTCACATGGGATGTCTAATTTTTGTATGTCACAGCTTTTGCTATAACCCCTCTTCAACATTTGAATCAAGTTTGCATGGCTGGTCCGAGCAAAAAGCATCTTTACGCCTCTTAGCCAAAGTTTTACATCATAATGTTTATCGTTTTTGTTATTTTTAGGGTCAGTTTAACGGCATTTTGTTGGCCAGTGCAGCGCAGATGGGTGAAAGTAGGAAGTTAATGTTTTGACATTTCAGGGTAGAAGTGTTCCTACACCAAAATATTTTCCCAACATTTTCTCATATTCCAACCAGGGCTGAAACAA